TGGGGAGGGTTTGAACCTGGGACTTCTAGGGTACGTCTAAACTACATGGCTCCGTTGATGGAGCCATGTAGATTTGTTTGTTCGGCAAAGGGAAATGAAGCCGTGATTTAAATCGCGGCTCCATTTCCCAATCAGCCTAATCTACATGGCTCCGTCGATGGAGCCATGTAGTTTAGACACACCCCGAGAGCTTTGGTATAGGAGCTTCTGCAGTTTGAGCTATAATACCAGCTGGCTCTTACTTAAGGCTGTAGAGCTTCCTTGTTCTTCTCTCTTGCTGTAAGTGCCACTACATGGCACACTGGACCACACTAGGGCTATGTCTACACTACACGATTTGCCTCAAAAGCCTATGCAAATCAAGCACAGATTAGCATTTTCTCGAGCTTCATTTGCATACTCTATTCCGATCCATTTTTGTGCTAGAGGTTTTGATGCAAAAACAAGCACTGTGGACGTTTCCTTTTCGCACAAAAAACTCTTTCTGTGTAAGATCGGTATTGCGCAAAATGGAAATGTCCACACTGCTTGTTTTTGTGTAAAAATCCCTAGCACAAAAACGGATCTGAAGAGAGTATGCAAATGAAGCATGAGAAAATGCTAATCCATGCTTCATTTGCATAGGTTCTTGTGGCAAATCTTGTAGTGTAGACATAGTCTAGGTGTGTGGGTTATATAATTCCCCTACCTGGGAAGTGCACCCCAAGCTTCAGAAACCTAATTGAGATTCCAGATAAGCCCCCACTTGTAACCACCACCAGGCAGATTCAAACCTGGGTCTTTTGGAGTTTAGGGTAGGCTAAAAAGCCAGCTGGCTTTCAGCCTAGGCTGTAGAGCTCCCTTGTTTTTATTTCTAACTGTAAGTAGTCTGCCACGACACGGGACAATGAACCACACCAGGGCTCTGTCTAGACTTCATTCCTCTTTCGAAAGAGGAATGTAAATGAAGGAAATCGAAAATGCAAATAAAGTTCAGATTTACAAATCTCGTGCTTCATTTGCATAATCTCATCCAATCACTTTTTCAAAAAAGTTTTTTTCCGGGAAAAAAGGCACTCTAGATGCGGTTCTTTCAGCAAAAAAACCCCACATTTTTTCAAAAGAATCATCCTTCCTCAAAAAATGAGGTTTACAGGTTCTTTTGAAAAAAGGCTTTTTTTTTTTTTCAAAAGAACCTCATCTAGACTGCTTTAAAAAAAAAAAAGCGTTCGGACACAATTATGCAAATGAAGCACGAGATTTGTAAATCTGCACTTCATTTGCATTTTTGATTTCCTTCATTTACATTCCTCTTTCGAAAGAGGAATGTAGTCTAGACATAGCCTAGGTGTGTAGGTTACATATACATTCATTCATTCAAATACCCACCCCCCACATACCCCACTTCTGCTGATGTTATAGTTACCTGTCTACGGCTTGGACAAATCTAATGGCCATTTGGATCGGGACTTTGAGGGGGATCCAGGTTTTGTCAATTGTGGGCCAATGCTCTGAGGTTTTGCACAAGGGAACCCAATGACTCATGGCAAGACGCTCCATCTTTTGCAGGAGTTCTTCTTCATACGTGTCTATGAGCTTTGCTGCATCATGTTGTAATTGGTTAGTTTGCAACAAATAATTATTTAAAGAAAGCTTTCATTATTATTTTAGGAGCATTTTGATGACTCTTTTTGGGTGTTGTCCCATTAGGGTTTCAGTTGATTTTATTGGTTTTTTGGAAGGGTGTTGCCTTCCTCAGCTTGCCCCACGTTGGTTACCAGCTCCTACTTTGACCATTTCAGTACAGCGATGGCCTTTTGGCTTATCTTTTTTATGACCCTATTTCTCACACAGACAAGAATTACATGGGTGGTGTTTTTTTTGTTTTTTTGTTTTTTGTAAAGACAGAACTAGTACAGCACGTTCTAAGAATAAAAAAGTAATTATAACAACATTTTAACATTCTTAAATCTTATACCAAAAGAATTGTCCTAGGGGCAAAAGGGTGACCACAGTGAGTCAGAGAAACCTTTTTGGCCTGTTCCTCCCTTGAGATCAGTAACAGACACAAGCAACCTGTCTGACGCATCTTTAGCATCAGAACGAGGCGGTTCCTTTCTGCTAATCAGAGAGGGTGGCAGGCAGGAACATTCAACATTCCTGTGGTGGGAAGAACACCTCAGCAGTCCAGCACCCTGGCATTTAATTTCAAAAAGGGGAATTACACAAAAATGAGCAGGTTAGTTAAACAGAAATTAAAAGGCACAGTGACTAGAGCCAAATCCCTGAAAGCTGCATGGAAATTTTTTAAAGACACCATAATAGAGGCCCAACTTAAATGTATACCCCAAATTAAAAAACATAGCAAGAGACCTAAAAAAGAGTCACCGTGGCTTAACCACCATGTCAAAGAAGCAGTGAGGGACAAAAAGGTATCTTTTAAGAAGTGGAAGTCCAATTCTAGTGAGATAAATTGAAAGGAACATAAACACTGTCAAATCAAGTGTAAACATGCAATAAGAAAAGCAAAAAAAGATTTTGAGGAACAGCTAGCCAAAAACTCAAAAAGAAATAACAAAATGTTTTTTAAGTACATTAGAAGCAGGAAGCCTGCTAAAAAACCTGTGGGTCCCCTAGATGATCGAGCTATAAAAGGAGCAATCAAGGACAATAAAGCTATTGCAGAGAAACTAAATGATTTCTTTGCTTCAGT